CCCCCAGGCTGCCACTGCTCCACGTCCACACCTTCGAGTTCCTGATCCCTGCCGTGGTGCTGAGCACTCACCTGCCCCACCCTGGCAGCAATGGTGAGCCCGGCCCCCCACTTTGGGGAGCCCCATGCCCCCCACTCCCCGCCCACTGCAGGGGCACGGCGTTCACGTCCACCCCTCTGTCCAACCGTGCAGGGACAGACATGCCTGCACCATGCACGGGGCCAAGCTGCAGCACGGGGGGCTGGGACCGCACAGCCAGAGAGGTTGGTATTGGGATGCCCCTTACTCCCGTCCCGCACCCAAACAGTGCCCCTCACTCCTGACCCACAACCCTGCTGCCATGCGTGTGCATACGTGTGTTTGGGGTGATGGAGCCGACTGCCCTCCAGACCTGGCACCCCTGGGCAGGAAGCCGTCCCTTGGTGGGGGCGCGGGCTGGGCCAGGCCTGGGCGCTACCACCCGTCTCTCGCTGCGCAGGTGTCGGGCGCGGTGGTCGTGGCCGGGCTGGTGCAGCTGGCGCTGGGGCTGAGCGGCGTGGGAGGGTGGGCCCCCCGGCACTGCGGGCCCCTGGTGCTGGCCCCCACGCTCTCCATCATGGGCCTCTCTGCCTACAAGCCGGCAGCCGCCTTCTGCTCGGCCAGCTGGAGCCTGGCGCTGCTGTACGTGAGCTGGGTGCTGGGCGGGGGTCTCCGGATCCTGGGGTCCCCACGGGGGGGTGGCTGGCAGTGACACCCCCCCCCATATCTCCCCCAGGCTGGTGCTCCTGGCTGTCCTGTGCTCCCAGCACCTGGGCTCCTGCCGCCTGCCCCGGTGCACCGAGACCCGGACCCCCCGCTTCCCCGTGGGCACTGCCATCCCGGCCCTGCGCCGGTTCTCGGTACCAGGGGGGTGACATGGCCGTGGCCCCGGTGCAAACCCCATGCAGTGCTGGGGGGCTGCAGGGTGTGTGGGGCTGGGAGGAGGGGTCCAAGGACCAGCCCCCCAACCCAGGAGTCTGAAGCCTCCCCTGTGCCGCCCCCCAGGTGCTGCTGCCCTTCGCCATCGCGTGGCTCGTCTGCGGGGTCCTGGCACAGCTCCCCGTGCCCTGGGCCCAGCTCAGCCCAGTGCTGCCCAATGCCACCACGCCGCCCCCCTGGCTCCAGCTGCCCTACCCAGGTGGGCCCCGCACCTGCGCTGCTCCCCCTTGACCCCGCGCCCCCTGACCCACTTGTCCCTGTGCCCCCTGACCTCTTCTCTGCTCCCCCAGGTCAGCTGGGGTGGCCCCAGCTCAGCCCCCTGGCACTGGGCGCTGGCTTGGCCATGGGCCTCGCCACCGGCCTGAGCTCGCTGGGCTGCTATGCTCAGTGCGGGGGGGTGCTGGGGACTGCTCCCCCGCCCCCGTCTGCCTGCAGCCGGGGGCTCTGCACTGAGGCACTGGGCTCCCTGCTTGCTGGGCTACTGGGGGGACTGGGGGGCTCGGCCGCCAGCATCCCCCACGCCAGCCTCGCCAGCCTCACCCAGGTGCGTTGTCATTGTGGGGTTGGGGGGGTCTGGTGCTTGCCCCCCACTCAGGCTCAGCCCCACGCTGCCTTGTGGGGGCTGGCAGGGATTTGCCCCCTGCTCAGTCTGGCCCAGCCAGGGGGGTTTCCCCTCCCCCTGGGCAGGGGCTCAGCCTGGGTTCGGCTTAGGGTTTGGATGGGGCTGATCCTGCCTTGGACTGGATGTGACCTCACAGCTCCCTGCCAGCCCCATGGTACTGTGATTTCTCAGGGCTGGGGGGGTTCTCCCCGGGGTGGGGTGAGAGTCAGGGCTCAGCCCCCACCCCGTGTCTCCATGCCCAGGCTGGCTCACGTTGCCCGGTGCAGCTGGCCGCGCTGGTCTGCCTGCTCCTGGGCCTGTCGCCCCGGCTGGCCGAGCTCCTCACCCGCATCCCACTGCCCGTCCATGGTGAGTGACCACCTTCCCCCTGCCCCGCGGGGCCTGGCTCAGATGGGCTCCCAGTGCGAATTGTGTGTGGCAGTGACTCCCGCCGTGCCCGGCCCACCCCTGGGGTGCGGTGTCCCCGGACGGGAGCTGCTGGACACGGGCATCAGGGGCTGGGGCACTGCCAGGCCTGGCGGGAACTGGGGGGGCATGCGAGAGACAGGTCCCTTGGCACTGGCACACGCACCTGCCCTGGGGTTTGCACACATGCACGTGACCTGGTCCACATGGGGCTTGCACTCTACCCTGTCCTGCTCCCCCCCACATTTGCATACCTTGTCTGTAATTGGCACACTTGCACATGCACCCACACACCTCACCTCACCTGGGATGTGCACGTCTGCCCCCTTTGAGATTTGCACACAAGTGCATAAGCACATGCACGGCCCTTGCACATGCCCCACCTCTCCTGGAGCCTGCACATGCCTGCACACCCCTGCCTGGCCGTGGCTGGGATGATGATGCCCGGCGCCACGGCCTCCCGACTCCGCAGGCGGCGTGCTCTGCGTGACCTACGCGGTGGCGGTGGGCGCAGGGATCTCCTACTTCCAGCGCGCCGACATCGACTCAGGCCGCAACGTCTTCGTGGTGGGCTTCACCATGTTCATGGGGCTCTTGGTGCCGCGCTCAGCACTGGCCACAGGTGGGTGAGAGCCGTGGGGTGGCTACACGGATGGGGTCACCCCCATGGCCGTGCCCCCGTGACCCTGCCCTTGTCCCAGGCTGGGAGGTGTTGGACGTGCTCCTGCGCTCGCTGCTGACGGTGCCGGTCGTCATCACGGGCGTCCTCTCCTTCGTCCTGGAGAACACGGTCTCGGGTGAGCCCCCGATGCCCCTGACCCTGCTGGGCTGCAGCTGGCGCGTGGCCCGGCTGAGCCTCTCCTGGTTGCAGGTTCACCCCAGGAGCGGGGCCTGCTCCCACCCCGGGTGCAGGGGAGCGAACCTGCCCGGGTCTACGGGCTTCCGCCTGCCCTCCGGTGCCCGCTCGGCCCCACCGGCCTCCGCGTGTTTCCCCTCTGCTTCCTCTGCCCCCGGCCGGGGCAGGAGGAGGAGGAGGGTGGCCGTGCCGTGGAGGAAGGCTCTACATCTCCAGGGGAAGCCACGCGACTGCTGGTGAAAGCCGGGGCGACGGCCGAAGCCAAGGCTGGAGGAAAAGACTGAGAGCCCGAGCACTGCTGGTGGCCAGATGCCGTGTGAGTGCCACGGCTGAGACTGTCTCTCCGTGGCGGGGCAGAGCCCTGGCCCCGTGCCTTCCACACTCCTGCCACCACCAGTGTCCCCGCGCCGGGGGATAAAGCAATGCACCCAGCTCTGCCGTCCGCGTGGCCTTTCTGCGTCGCCCGGGGCAGGGGATCACCGGGTCCCTGCCACCCTCACCCCCTGCACCCCCCTTCAATGGCTCCCCAACGCCAGCTCCCAGCCGCTGTCTGCCAGCTGCTCCTCATTTATTGCTTCCACCGTCTTGCAGCCCGGCAGCCTGGTGCTGACACTTCCAGTTCCTTTTGAGCTGGAGAAAGCCGTGTTGTGTCCCACGCGATGAGGTGTCGCGCCGTTTGCACCTCCCTTGTCACGGTCCCAGATCCGCTGGGCAGCTGGCCGAGCTGGCAGGGACTCTTGGACACTGGCTGGACGGAGGCTGCCGGGCCCCCGTCCCAGCTCCCTGCCCCGTGGCACCCCCCGACCGGCCCAGGCAGGCGTACCCCTACTGTGCCCGAAGCGCTTCCAGCACCCCTCGGGCAATCGGTGTTGGTGCTTAGCTGCCCCCTGCTCCTCCTGACGCCCGAGGAGGCCCCGGGACAGCGGCTGACACCTGATATTAACCCCGGGCCCTGGCTGGGCTCCTTGCCCCGTGCTGGCACCGGCCGCCCAGAGTCCATTCGGTGAAGTTATGGGCTGGCCCTGACTCTCGCTTTCTCGAACGGGCCCCTGCTTGCAATTCCCCCTGCGTGGGGCCGGAGGGGCAGGTCCTTCCCTGCTCCGTGGGCTGGAAGTGCACCCATAGCGCAGAGAGAATCGCAGAGGCATCAGTGCTCAGGCTTTTATGGCCCCGGGCTGCATTTGTGGTTTTCACTAGAGTTAAAACCAGTCCGCGGGGCTGTGAGGTAGGAGCTGGGCTCCTGGGGGGAGCTAAGAGATGGCAGACGCAGGAGGAAGGGCTGGGGGATTAGTGGGATGGCAAGAGGGAGGGTCGTTTACACCCGTGGAGTGACGGGTTTAGCAGGAATCGGGGAGATGATACGGAGCCAGCGAGTCATTGAATCCCCGAGCCGTGGGGCTGGCAGGGAGCTCTGGAGGTTGCATTGGTCCCAGCTCCGCGGCAG